AGAAGTGATACTGGCATGTAGAAGTGATACATTGTGTTAAAGATATCACCCCTTAATTGTCAGTTATATAAACCCAAAGCTAGAAAAATGTTATAAACACTCACTCTAATGTATATTCATTTGCACAGAAATAAAAGCTTTTTACACGGTGCCTGGCACATACTGAATATTTAGTGTAACAGAATGGAAAGGATTTTACAAGTTAGTGCCTTTAAAATGAGGAGATCACAATACATTTCTGACATGGTATTCCAACTTGGACTCTTATTTTACAATTTAGTTAATTCTCAGTGCAGAAAATGTGGTCCCATGATAGAGAGATTTGAGAATCCTGCACCAAGTACTGCTCATCTTGGTCATTTTGCCTACGGCACTGAGCAAAATTTGTGTCTAGCTTTGACAGTAACAGCAATTACTTCTGTTTTAACAAGAATCATCTAATGCACGAAGGACCTAGTGCACAAGTCTTGTGAGGAGAGGCCGAGGAAACTGAAGTTGTTTAGCCTCAAGAAAAGGAGGCCTAGGAGGACCTTACCCCTCTCTACTTGAAAGGAAGTTGCAAACTGGTGGGAGCCAGTCTCCTCTCCCTGGTTGCAAGCAATAAAATGAGAGGAAATGGCCTCAGGTTGTGCCAGGGAAAGTTTAGATTGGATATGAGGAAAAATTCTTCAGCAAAAGGATGGTCAGGCATTGGTATAAGCTGCCCAGGGAAGTGGTTGGGTCACCAGCCCTGGGAGTGTTTAGGAGTCATGTAGATGTGGTGCTTAGGCACATGATTTAGGGGTGGCCTTGACAGTGCAGAGTTAATGGTTGACCTCGATGATGTCAGAGGTCTTTATAACCTGAGTGATTCTATCATACTGTGACATAAAGTAAGAGTTGAGACTGTTTATCTGTTCAAATACTACACTGGGAATTCTCCTAACATAACCAAGAACCGCCTGAGAAAGTGTTACCTAGTGTTCCTTTTCCTTTTATGGTCCCAGCATGAGATACAAGGAGATAATCGTGGTACTTCACAGTCTTCTTTCTCTTTCACACCTGCCTGCCCTTCAATGTAAGTGGTAAAGCCAAGATCCAGGAACTTTGCACCCTCTAGTTTCTGATGCACACATACTGTGCCATGTTCTTTTTCATGTGTCGTTTTTCCAAAGTAAAAAAAAAAAAAATTAGAGACATTCTATCTGTTTTTCTATAAACTTCTTAAAGGGTGATTGTGGGTTTTAGCTTCTTTGACAAAACACAAGGGTATTTTTATACGTTCTTTTTTCAAGTCAGTTGGTGAAAAGAGCTTTCAGTTCTCAGGAGGGATAAAGCTCTAGAAAATGTTGATTTTTTTCCATCAAAAATATTTTTTGCTCATAAGCTATTCTTTCCTTATCTTGATGGAAAAAAAAAAAAAGACCAGATTTCTAGATCAATAATGTTGAAAACAGCAGCAGCAGCAGCAATCATCCTCGATGCATGTTGTTTTCTGGTGCACTTTCATATCTGAGCATTTCCTCATGCTGTAAATATCAGCCTGACTCGCACTCAGGCTTCAACCTCACATCAAGCAACACCAGAAAAAAGTAGGGGCTGTTTAAATGCAACAAGGCTTGGAAAAACCAATTTTTTAAAAGTGCCAGCATGTCAAAACATTGAAGGAAAATATTGAAGAGTACCAGCGAGCTTCCAGTTTGTCTCTTGCTGCATGTTTTTTCTGTTGAATAATCACATCTTCCAGTGCCTAAAGCAGTAGTTCTTTGTATGTAATGTGCGCTTCAGGGCATTCAAGAAAAAAAAAAAAAATTGAAATTATCTGGAGGAAACCCAATCACTTTATTTCAAAGACAAATTAGATTGATCTCTCTTACCATTCTCCATAGATTTCATAGGCATGTTGCTTGTTGAAGTGGTATCAGGCATTTTATATATTATAGCAATTTGCATACGTTCATTAAGCTGCGCTTTGTAAAGCTCTCTGACAGGGGCATTTGATGAATCCTTCTGTGGACTGCATAGCTGCTTTATGTGGAGCAATCTGTTAAATCATGCCTTTGTCCTTCAGATTGTCAGAATCAGTAAGTGAAGCAGATGTTAATAACTGTGGGAGAGTTTGGGGTTTTTTGGTGTTTGCGGAATATGGGATAATATGTGAAGGGCATAATGTGTTTGTAAAAGCGACAGCTGGTGTTATTAAAGACAGAAAGTCTGCTACAAGTGAAAACTTTCTCTGGCATCTTGTAGCAACTCCAGGAGGTTTTTTGGAACAGTCAGGTGGGTGGTCAATTCTAAAATAAACCCTGCTAATATTATGCACAGCAAATTGTGTGCTTGTACTTAACACACAATTGTTCTTATATTTGGTTGCAAACATTCTGTCACAGAGTTATCTCAGCCATGCAATAATTCATAACATTTCTCTGTAAATATGTCATAAGAAATTCCCAGGTCAACCATCCTGTGAAATGTGTCTGTGAAAAATATAATTTCATGCATTATTGAATTAGTAGGGTTTTGCACCTGGTCAGTTTGAAGGTTACCTTTATGACACAAGTTTTGCAGGACCTGACAGTTCAGTCCCTGGAATCTCTACTTATTGTCAAGGTCACTTTGCTGAAGATGTTTCAGCCAGGGAACAGCCTATATTTAGGTGGTTAACGTGCTACGTCTGATGGGTGCTAATTCCTGTCAAGATGTGGTGAGATGAGTGCTTATTGTCAACTGCAGAGGCCTCGCAAGTGAAGGTAAAATGGGCAGTCATAAATTGGGTAAGAAATGAAAGGAATAAATGAGAGGCAAAACGTAGCTTAGGGGTGCCTCAGGAGAGGCCAGCAGAGGTGGAGGTGCTGATCTCGTCTCCCTGGGGACCAGTAACAGGACTCAAGGACATGGAATAAAGTTGCAGGGAAGTTCAGACTGGGCATTATGAAAAGGTGCTTCACTGGGTGTGTAGTCAGTCACTGGAGCGGGCTCCCCAAGGAAATAGTCATGGCATCAAGCTTGTCAGAATCCAAGGAGTGTCTGGACAATGCTCACAGTCATTTGGCCTAGTTTTAGGTAGTCCTGCAAGGAGCAGAGAGCTGGACTCAGTGATTCTTGGGTGTCTTCCATCTGGAGATTTTCTGTGATTCTATGTGGAAAAAGTTGTTGCAAGGCTAACTGATTAGGAAGTAGAAAAAAGCAAGGACGTTACTGTAGAAAATAAAGGGTAAGCTTTGACCGCCTTCTGATCTTGCAGATTTTTATTTGCATTATCTAATAAGTAGCTCCCGCTCATTTTAGAGGAGGTATTTTGCTGAGATTCACTTTAATGACATTCTCTTTGTGATTATGCATTATTGTGGAAATCTCTTTTGGGGAATTGAGTAGGAGGTGCAAAGGGTGGAGATGTAGTGATGTTACTCGTGCTTGTGTGATTGAATCTGAGCTTCTGAGCCTGGCTTGTCTGCAGCTGACATCAACAGCAGGAATGGCTACACAGTGCATAGAATAAATAATCCTAGAATTGTCATGCTTGCAGTGATTGCCTGAAAATATGTAGAGAAGACCAGTGAGGGATTTCTGTTGTTCTTGCACATGAAAATAGGCAGCAGCTACAAATCAGCGAATTGTTGCTTTTGTAAGAAGAATTGGCAGAATCTTTCATGCTGTTGCTGGATAAAAATTTCTACTGCTTCTGTTCCTCAGAGTGAGTCTTATCTTTCTGTCTGATTATCTTGCAAAAAATGAGCAGTGAAATAATTATCCATGCTGATATTTACATTTCATCTCTCTGCTTGAAAATTACCAGCTCACAGAAGGGAACAGAGGGAGTCCAGGACTCCTTGGGTGGGCTGATCCTTTGGAGAAGCAAATGTCTGCTCTTCAGCTGGGACACATAGGTGCTCCCAGCCGGTGACCATTGATGCATAGTGGGCGTAGACAATTCTATAGCTGATTCTCTTTGCCTTCACTGGGAATCATGTGGTAGGTACCAGTAGCACAGCTGCTGTGCAAAGCTCAGGAAAAACTCTGTGGAAAGAAAAGAGACAAGACTTCTTTTAATGTGGGCTCTTAATTATCTTTAAGAGCTGTGCCTGTGTGGAAGTCCTGTGTGAAATGGTGTTTCTTGTTGCAGAATGCAAAGTTGCCAATAGTGCCACCAAAATACTCAATAGAGCATGTACTAATGATGGTGATTATGCAGAACAGAGATCAGACCAAGTGCATTTGGACGCATGAACTTTCTTCCCATTTTTCCTTTTCTTTTTCTTTTCTCCTTTGTGTCTTTCCTTAGTCTACTGAGCCTGTTTCTTTCTACTGCTGCATCTTCTTCCTTTTTGCTTTGTTAAGCACATCAGTTTTAATAAATGCATTATGCTCAGGGTCACTGTGTGAGAATCACCAGGAAAATTTACAGAGACTCTGGGACTAATTGTGATTAGGTGTTATATGTATCCTTACAAGGATGTACATCCATAATTTCACACCTGTAACAGAACTGCCATGTTCAGCATTTCTGAACATTAAAGAAATAATGCACTTAAGGATACCCTTGATTTTTCATGTGGTTTCCCTATTCATGTCACTGTTCTACTGCAAGCTAAAGGCAAAATACTCCTTAAATGCACATAAGGATGCTTGTGGTTTCCTAAATCATTTATATTTTCTGATATGCCACTGGCATTTTTTCACATTCAATATGTTGTGTTTGTTTTTTCATTGTAAGTGATTGTAGCAAAATTACTATTTGAAAATTTTGGGATTTTTTAATGTTTTCTACTAATTTTGAACTCACGTGTAGAAATTGCTTAAGAATCTTTACAATATTGCATACCTTAAATGTAATGTGCTATAAATTACCATACCATCATTGTTATCACCCACAACATGTCTCAGGTGATGCACAGCTTCAGAAGGACTGGCTCATGGGCTCATTTCTAAGTAGTAATTTTGCACAATATATTTTTTTTTTCATTTAATATACTTAAGTCATATACTTTTAATAACTTTAAAAATATATAATCTTTTTTATCAGATCTTGGATTCTGAACTTGAAGCAGTTCTTCAAGATTATATGCTTCTTGAAACTGGGAAAGTATCTGCAATAAATAGGTACGTGTAATGGATACATTCATGCTTTGTGTTGGATGGTTTGGACCATGTGAGTTTTGTTGACAGTTTAATTCTGAGCTTCTTACAGCTCTTGATAAATCTCAGTTGCTGTGAACAGGACACTGTGATGGATCTTTGCAGGCTGAATTTTCAATAACACATGGTTATTGTAGGACAGAAATTTGGAAGGGTATGACGTTCACAGTTGCTCAGAGATTAATGTTTAGCCAAACCCACAAACTTCAGAGTGAACAAAAAGGTGAGTCTCAACAAGCAAGTAAGAAGTTTTACAGCTGTGTTGCCTTTGGGCAACTGCTTATTTTTTTGCAACTGTTGATGGTCATAAAGGTATGAATGTAACTAAAGATGGGAAGGAAATGACCATAAAAGTTGAAAACTTGGGTACATTGAAGTTCCTGGAAATTTTCTTCTTAGGTGTTTCAGTGATGCTCACATGTTACTTCAATCATTTACAGAAAATATTCAGGCAATTTCAGAAATACATTCTTGCATATAACAAAGCAATTTCCAGGTGATTTCTTTTTTAAAAGTCAGATCACACTTTATGGTTCTTGAAGCTCTACTGAACTCCTAGCAATGGAGAAAGTTAAATGAGAGAAGATTTAGAAGTTCTTATTCTTTTGAAAGAGTTCATAGACCTAGGCAATTCTTTTGAGATTCATTTCAGTTTGAAGCAGTGAAAGGTTTCTTGAATACTGGATGTAACAGCTGGACTTACCTTGATCTGTGTGAGAAACTTTGAAGAGATTTAAAAATGAGGAGAGGTTAAATGCTTATGCATGAAATTCACAAAAATGGATTTTTGCGCTAAGTTGCTTATTCTGTAAGAATTTAAATGCAAAATATCTTCATAGCATGCTTCACCTGTAGGTCCCAAGATATTTAGCAAAAGCTGGAGAAGAACGGTGGTCTCCAATTTATGCATGGGGTCAGGTACCTGCCTGGATCACCTAATGTCCTACTGCTAGAGCTTCTGGATTTTCAGACCTGTGTCCAGGCCTGTCAGAGGATCCCATGGGATGTCTAATTATCCTTTCAGAGTGTGTGCAAAAGATCAATGTTTCCGATGTTTATGTTTTCCTGATATTTCTCATATCTATTGGTGTGCCCTTACTGCTCCCTTTTGTGATACATTTCTTCACTCTCATTTCTTCCGCTTTGTTTTCTACTTTGCTTTCTTGTTTTGCTTTTCTATGTTTTCTCCTCTTTTTAATTCATTTGCAGTCTGTGGAGATATTAGCTGTAGTGAGACCTTACACAAGGAGGAATTTCAGGGAAAAAAAAATCATAGCGGAATGAGCTTCCCTTTTACTGCCTCTCTAGAAAGCCTGCTGTAAAAGGCAACTTGCTGTCATTCCTGTAAATTTTCTTTTGCAGCCAGCTCTGCTGGGTGTCCCCTTTGTGCCCTGTGAACATCTGTGTTGCAGCTTACGTCTGAACCCAACTGGAGAACAAATGTGTGAACCTGCTTCTTATTTTGAGCAGGAAGCTGCTGCTATTAGTAAGGCATGTGGCCCTGCTTCACCTGTGACTTCTTCATCCCCAGCTGGGAGAGAACCAGCCGTCTGGATTCTCCCCTCCCGCCAGCCATGCCCTTGTCCCTAGGGTAGCAAGTTTACCTGCTTTCCTCTAGACACTGTCCAGTGCCTGTCGTTTTGCAGCATTCATTTTCTCCCTGAATTTTCCCTGAGGTGTCATGCAGGAAGGAAGAAAGCAGTGAGCACTGCAGGACTTTGTGACATAGCTTATTTTCTGCTGCTCCTGAAAACTTCTCCTTGCATGCACACAGTCATGCAGGTACCACCCTTCTGCATAAGCAAGAAATCCTTAATCCTTGAAGTATTCAGGCTCCAGGGATGCTGGAGCAGAAGAGAAAGTTTCGTTTGCTAGGTTGTGCATAGGGGTTCCAGGAAACATCGACAATGTTTCTGTGCCAATTTTGGACACAGCACAAGACAGCTTGCTGAGCATAAATTAGGAACTTAACTTCAAACAGACTTACTTTAGCCAACTTTTTACTTTAAAAGGGGAAAAAAAAAGAGGTGAAGAAAAGGAAGCAGCAGTGCTGCCCAGTTTGCAAAGGTGCTATCCCACTTGGGTGTGCTCAGGAGTGCTTGAAGTGTATAGGTGGTGAACTGCAGTCTCTGTGGCATATGCGTGTCTCCAAGGGAAAAAGGAAATCTGTTGTGTCAAGTTGGCTTCAGCTTATGCTCCAAGGGCTGTTGTGACAAGCCTGGAAGGTGTAGGAACTTTTGTGAAGGATCAGGTGTGATAGCAGAGAGCGACTATAACACTTGGGGGGAGGAAGCTGGAGTACTTGAGGTCAGGCTAAGTTGGCAGCCATCAGCAGGCAAGGGAACACAGCTGATGTAGCAAGAGCATGCACCAATTCAACAGCTTCCCTTAGATATTTGGGTTGGAGCAACTCAAAATTAGCAAATTCCTGGCTGACATCGCTGAAAAGGCTACTGGACAACTTTGTTTTCCTTGTCATTAAATGAGCTCCCTTGCGGTAGAAGGGTATGTGAGTTTCAGAGTTTTTCAAGCCAGGTTAGAAAAAGTCAGCCCCTTTCTTTCCAAAACTATCCATCAAGGCAGTCCCAATGCACCCCTGACGTCTCTGGGTGTGTGAATCTTGTGCAGGCAATGGTCTCCCCTGTTCATTTTGTGAATGCATTTGTTATGGAAGGAAGGGCTGGTCTGGCTGATTGTATGGCTGTAAGTGCTGAACAGCAAAAATTTTTAAACAAAAAAATCTGGTCCTCTTTAAACATTGGCGGACAGATATCAGTCTTCCATCTGTGGCAGCCTGTGCCAAACAGCAGAAGAACTGCAAAGTTAGTGTTCTGAAACCTCAGAGGAATAACTGGCACGCTCCAACTTTTTTTTTTTTTTAAATTTTTTTAAACTTCACACAAATGAAACGTTAAACACAGAAAGTAAAGTTAAATGTGACAAGCAGGCAGAAAGTGGGGAGTTCAGCCAGAAGGGCTGTGCATGGAACAAAGCCCTGGCTCAGGGCATGGAGCCCCTCAGCCCTGCTGCGTGGGCGTTGCTGTCGAGTGACAGCAGGCAGTGGCCACCCATTGTGGAGGCTGTCCTTTGGCTGTCCCCTGCTCTAGGGGCCAGGGAGGTGGCTGGGAGTCTTGAAGGACTATATGGCTCACAAGACCCTTCCAGAGGTGCAGAGTGACTTATACCATGTTGAGATGTGACACGTGGAAGGGAGACACTGAATACGTACTCTATACCAACTAAGCAAATTAGTTTTCTTTAAAAAAAAAAGAAGGCATTCTGATCAAAGAACTTTCAGATACCAACTGTCAGGAAATAGTCTGAATTCTACATGGAGCTTTCTTTAAAAACACAAATATTTTACCTCTTTGGAAACACTTTCAAACTGACTTTTTGCTTAGTAGTGTTACCAGGAAAAAGTAATGCACACATCTTCTATTCTGTAACTAGTAGGGCAGTAGTACTTCTGTCTTATCCAACCATGATTTGATAGAAAAGTTTGTCTGGACACACTGCTGGCTTATGTTCAGCTGGCTGTCAACCAGCACCCCCAGGTCCTTTTACACCAGGCAGTTTTCCAAACCATTTTTTCCAAAGCCTGTAGCATGGGGCTATTGTGACACAAGAGCAGGACCCAGGACTTGGCCTTGTTGAACCTCATACAATTGTTCTTGGCCCATCAATCCAGCCTGTCCAGATCCCTCTGCAGAGCCTTCCTGCCCTCCAGCGGATCACCATTCACACCCAACTTAGTGTCCTCTGCAAGGAGACTGAGGGTGCACTTGATCCCCTTATCCAGACCATTGATAATGATATTAAGCAGAACTGTTTAATCAATTAGACTGAGATATTTGGTCTATTCTTGTTCTTACTTGAGACTGCATCCAAAAAAGACTGTTTTCAGTGAGCTTGAATCAGTCTCATGGAGCAGCTGGGAAATAAATCAGGACTGTGCATCAGCCATTATGAACTGGGCAGTAGCAATTTGCTTTGGTTAGAGAAAGTGTCAGCTTTTAGCAGTTTCCTGTAATATTTAATTTGCTTCCCCATCTAGGTACGCTGTGTTTTTAGTAATATGCACCTCTGCTGTGTTGTCCCTTTTATCAATCAAAGTTATTTTGCTTTTCTGACTTGGCATGGTGTTGCATCTCTTTGTCTCCTTTGGCAGAGCTAGGAAAATGTGTGTTTATGATAGGTAATTACAAGGACCCTACTTTGGTACCTGGGAGCAACTTCTCCTGATTCACTGGAGTGGTGGTGGCCGAGTCCTGCTGCTGACCATGCCATATGCTACCCAGTAACACATGGTGTTAGTAGTTGGGGATGTCAGTAATGGGTGACACAATTGTCAGACTTAAAAAATAAAGCACTAATAAGGAGCTTTGAAATAGTCTTGTTTAAGATTGGCTGCTGTTTGTAACATCATGAGTTCTGAACAGGAGTTTAATTCCAAGTGCAAGGAAAAGAAGGAAATGAAGGCATTTCTGCTTAAATGGATTACTGAGTATGAGTATGGAAGAAAGCAGCATTCCCCTATGGGAGTGTGCTTTGTCCATGTTACTTGCTCACCTAGCTGTCTGTCACCTGCATGGATCATTTCAGTAGACCTCCCAAACCTCCCCTGCAAAGTCACTGCCTGTCACTACATCCTCTGCATGCATGGGGTGTAGATGGTAAATGTCCAAGTGGGATTTTTAGCTCGAACACTCAAGAAAGCAATGCCAACAATAAAGAAAATTGATACAAGCTTGAGGAAAATGTTTCCAAATTGGAGAGGCAGGTGCACACTTGTGTGGTGCTTTCTGTGTAGATACTAATGATGCCTCCTGTGCATCCCAATGTGTATCCCTATTCACTGTGCAAGGGTTGGATCTGGAATCCTACCCACACAGAAAGTGTATGGTAGCCAAATGTAGCTGCACATGAACAAAGTGTCCTTATTTTGTCAAGATAAAATACCCAGC